ACATGTAAACAAATACAACACAGTATCAGCGCGCGCTCTCTCTCTCTCTCTCTCTCTCTCTCTCTCTCTCTCACACACACACACACACACACACACACACACACACACACACACAGTGAAATAGGAATACAGGAGAAAAGACCTATGCTGGGAGAGTCAGGGAAGGGCTCCAAAGGGAAGCATGTCTTGAGCTGAGATGTCTAAGTAAAGGAATTTTCCAGACAGTCAAGCAAAGGTAAAATAGCTTGAGATGTTCAGGGAATAACAAGTAACTTGATAATGCAGGAGGATAAAGTACAGGGAGTAAAAGCAAGAGATAAAACTGGAGATATGAACAGGACATCATGAAAGAGCCTATATACTATGAAAATAAATTGTAATTTTTCCTTGGAAACACAGACACACTTTAGGTAGGGAGCAGCACAATCAGACCTGCAAGCCAAAACAAGCTTGCAAACATAGTGGAAGATGGACTGGAGGGAGAGGTCCTGGAGGATGGGAGATTATTAATAATGAAGCTATAGCAGTCTAAATAAGAGCCTGAGTCAACTGAGGATAAAGAGGTAGCAATGCATATCGGTATGTGCATAACCCATGGACACAGACAACAGGGTGGTGAAGGTCTGGGGCAGGGGGCGGGGCAAGCTGGAGAGGGTCAATGGAAGAAAAAAGTGGACATACGTAATACTTTCAACAATAAAAATTTTAAAAAATAAAATAAAAGAAGCCCTCGCTGGTTTGGCTCAGTGGATAGAGTGTCAGCCTGAGGACTGAAGGGTCCCAGGTTCGCTTCCGGTCAAGGGCACGTACCTTGGTTGCAGATTTCTCCGGCCCTGGTTGGGTGCATGCAGGAGGCAACCAATCGATGTGTCTCTCTGACATCAATGTTTCTTTCTGTCTCTCCCTCTCCCTTCTACTCTCTTTAAAAATCAATGGAAAAATATCCTCAGGTGAGGATTAATCCAAAAAAAAAAAAAAAAGAAAGAGAGAAACATGGATCAGACCATCAAACCTCAGAGGGAAGGTAGGGGAGGGTGGGGGTAAGGGGGAGAGATCAACCAAAGGACTTGTACGCATGCATATATGCATCATCAATGGACACATACACCAGGGGGTGAGGGCATGAGTGTGTGTGTGGGGGGGGTGTAATGGGGGGATAAGGACACATATGTAATACCTTAATCAATAAAGAAAAAGAAGGGAGGGAGGAAGGAAAAAGAGATGGCAGCAATGGATATGAGAGATTTAGAGGACTCTCAGGCACAAGGTTGGCAAACTTCCAATCTCTTGGATAGCAGTTATGAGAGATAATATAAAGGTCCATAAAGCTGATGGATAATTCCCTCCAAAATGCAGACCCCCTGGTCCACACAGCCCAACTACTTTCAGAAAACATTCTGGAGTAGACTTCCTTATCTTTCAAATCAAACTGCTTTTGCATCTGTAAACAAGGGGAAACAAAACTAATTTTTTAATCCAAAATTGTTTCATATAGATTAGAGAACATAATAGACCAAAGTTGTGAAATGACTTTTAAAATTATTTCAAGCCCAGACTGCTCAGTGGTTGAGTGTGAACCTATGAACCAGGAGGTCACAGTTTGATTCCTGGTCAGAGCACATGCCCAGATTGCAGGCTCAAACCACAAAAGGCAGCCAATCAATTATTTTCTCTCATCATTGATGTTTCTATCTCTCTCTCTCCCTTTCCCTCTATCTGAAATCAATAAAAATATATTTTTTAAAAACATTATTTCAAGATCAAAGACTTATCTTAAGACTTTGTTTTCCACTTATCCCTCCTACATAGCACTTTAAATGAGCAGAAAGAGGGATTTCAGTTAGGTGAAAAAGGAAACTAGAAGGGCTACCTAACACTGGAATGTTAGTCTGGAAAAGGGACAGATGTCCTCCTCTTGAGATATCTAACCGCAATATAAAGTCAACTGCTGAGGATGTTTGAAATCTGAGGTGAACATTTCAAAAATATTCTACCTCTGAGGTCCTTGTAAAGCCTACTTTACTGTACACTGTTGATCCCTCCACTGACTCCCCGTCCGCCCCCCCCCCCTAAAAAAAAACAACAAATTTCTCAATGGCAATTTTCTTGAAAATTTCTGGCTCTTTCTTAAAACAATGGGTAAGTCTCCGAGGCATGAAGGACTAGGAGAATCAGACAATTTTCATCAGGCCCAAATAACACTAGTCTTTTTAAAAGTGTGGTAGCATTCTATATTGGTTTAAAATGTACTGATCAATTTCCAAAGAACACATGCTAAATAAATGCAGACAGAAGGAATGGAAGAGAACAGATTGCTAAAAAGAAATCAGGGAACTTTTCCCTCCAATTCATCCTACATGCTAACACCAATTTTAAGTCTCTCCCTTACTCAAATTAAAAAAAAAAAAAAAAAAAAAAAAATCCTTAGATGCTTTCCTATTACCTACAAGATAAAATTCAAATTCCTTGGCCTGCGCACTCCAAGTTCCAGCATGCAGTACTACCTATCAACATAATCACCTACAATTCCCTTTCTCAGCCAAACTGACCTCCTCCCTTCTCTTCCAACAGGAAACACAACCACAGGGAAGTGAGAAACATCAGCACCATAAATAGGTTCAAGGCTTCCCTTCTCAACAATCAGAACAAAGGATAAACTTTAAATACATATTTCCCCTTAAAACTAGTCTCCAGTTGAGTACCTGGGCTATCAAATGGAAGAGCAAGTAGGATTTAGTAAGGTTGACGCTATCAAAAGAAATGTAAATGATGCCCTTCTATGGTAACTGCGAATTGTCATCCTTTCTTTTCCTAGAACTGTCATTTCTCTGGCCCAATTACCTGTTACTAGTATCTAGCAGCTTTGAAATCCACCGCCGCCCCAAACTAACTCCACTATTAAAGTGCCCTTTCACTAGGTATTCTATTCAATGGCAAGTCATTGACTTCTCATTGGGGAAAAGAGAAGGGAATCTGCCAATTCTCCTTTAGCCACAACAGCCTCAAAAACAGGACTTGGCATAAGGAAATATTATCTGCTCAAAAAAATCTTCTGGTTTTAGCAGTCCAAGTAGCCCTGAGGAGTCATTTTAACCCTACAAACTTATGAAGCCCGGGTGATTTCAGCATAGAGATGTCTTTTTTTTTTTTAAATCAGCTTTTAGGCCCTACCCTATTCCTACCCTTTTCAGACCTGAAAGACAAAATCACCAAACAAAATTCACCAGAGCTTCTCAAAATTCTTCTCCCATCCAGCTAATAAAAATTCTTAGTCATGAACAGAATTTGGGGAAAGGGAAGGAAGAGTCTATAGCAAAGAGGGTAGGGTATCTGATGCATCTGATGATGGTGCCCTGTCAATTCCTGAAGGCCAAAATGCTGCCAGAGAACCAGGTCTTGGTCATCTAAGGCAAAACATAAAGATAATGAAATATTCAACTGATCAATAGGCTAACTGCAACGCCAGACCCTTGGACTTATTTTAAGTTCTAAGAAAGAGAGAAGGTAGAGTTTATCTGAGTCTGAACTAGTAATTTGAATGTGTAAAAGCATTCTACAGATCTATACTTAAAGCTGTAATGAAGTCTCCAAACCATTTTAATGCTATATTTTGTCTGTGCCCTAAATAGACTGTAAACTATTTGAGGACATACACTTGATATATCCCCAAAGCTTTTACCATAATACTAATGTTATTAGATTCAAAATACGATGGCCTGACTGATGATCACTGGATAAAACAAACATGAATTCTAGTATGTTTTTAAAGTCATGTAGCAGACAATACCAGTGACTGACAAAGTCCATGTGGTAGCCACCTATAAACTGGACTAGCTAACACCCCCTGACCCAATTCTGGACTCAGTATTCATTGAATCCCTGTTCAAGAAAAAAAGTCAGGCCCTAACCGGTTTGGCTCAGTGGATAGAGCATCGGCCTGCGGACTGAAGGGTCCCAGGTTCGATTCTGGTCAAGGGCATGTACCTTGGTTTCGGGCACATTCCCAGTTGGGGGTGTGCAGGAGGCAGCTGATCGATGTTTCTCTCTCATTGATGCTTCTAACTCTCTATCCCTCTCCCTTCCTCTCTGTAAAAAATCAATAAAAAGTATTTTTTTTTTAAAGAAAAAAGGTCAGATTTTTGGCAAAAATTTATGGAGGACAGTCAGCTCTCATTAAATATGGCAGTCTACAAGATATCAAACACTAGGAATCAGAAAGAATAATAATGCTAAAATAGAACTATGTGCCCTAGCCAGTGTGGCTCACGTGGTTGCCAGTTGGATTCCTGGATTGAGGGCTCAATTCCCCGCCAGGGGCATGCAAAAGGCAGCCGATCCATGTTTCCCTTTCACATTAATGTTTCTCTTCTCCCTCTCCCTTCCTCTCTGAAATTAATGAAAAAAAATTTTTTTAAGTCAAGGATGACTCTTTGGTTTAAAAAAAATAGAACTATGTGAATAAAAACTGAGTTCAGGGTAGTGAAACAACATCTTCATCCACAAGAAATAAGCAGGAGCAGCTAAAAGTCAAAGTCAAGTAAAGGATGATTCGACAAGCAAAGCTCCCATGCTTATATTTCTTACACTGTTCATTGAAACATCTCACCGGAGGTTGGTAATGATTAGGTCAAGGTGAGAAGATGCTTCAGAGTTGGGTTTTCTATTTTAAAAGTCTATCAACCTTAAAAGGGTGTGAAAGCTAAGTGAAAATTGGAATGAACTTTTTTCCCTGGACCAAAATGAAGTGATGTGGATCACCAGGTTGAGCAGCAGCATGAAGGTCGATGTTTTACAGATTTAATTCCAGCTACGAGGCGGCTTTTTTGGTATTTGGTATGTGACAACCTTTCTGAGCCTCAATTTCCCCACTCACAAAAAGAGGGCAATGCAGGCTCCCCTCACAACTTCACGAGGCGGTGGTCTTACATAAAGAGTACTGTGAGAATAAAAGCAGCGTCCCACAATAACATTATTACTGCGATTACTTATAGAATTATTACCCGCTAGGATGAAGCTCCCCACACAAGAGATGAAGCCCGAGAGGAAAGAGTTGAAGGGAAAGGTCCCCACGAGGAGACAATAACCGAACTGCAGCGCCCCGGTCAGCAGTATATACAGGAGGTACGCGTCCAGCAACTTCAGACGCTGAGGAGTGGTGCTCAAGTATTCTTCCAAGAACCGCGAGATGACCGACACTACTGAGGCCGACATGACTACAAGATCGATCCGCCGGCCTGCACTCGCCAAACTCCGAGAGGAAACGACCACCACAGCGGATGTAGCGTTAGCGCGTGCGCAACGCTGTAACCCAGCTCCACCCGCCCCGATTGGCCAATTTGCGCAGGCGTAGGGTGGGCCAAAGCGCGAAACAACCAATGCGCAGACGCAGAATACATCGACTGACAGAACTACCGCCAGTACAGCTAATGCGCCTGCGCAATAGATCTTCCGTCAGAGCAGGAGACGTGTACTCTTTCTACCCTATTTTTGCAATCACGTTAGTGACGCTCGCGGTTGCTCTGGCAACAAGATACAGTGAAAGGAGGTAGAGGAGAGGTTTTACGGCTGACCGCGTAGCCACCCGAGGCTTCCCGCGCTCTCTCTTTGCTCCTCAAAGATTAACTGGTTCTGTTTTACGTCAATGCCTGGCACTCCCCAGGTTCAGTACCAGCTCGGCCCTGAGCCTGACTGCATATGCCTGTCCCAGATCATTAGAACAAGTCAAGTTAGTCCACCAGCAGTGAGAAACACTGCAGCGAATAACTGCTCAGGCACCAGTTTAGAAGTGGTTATTGGAGGAGGAAAGTGTGGCGAGTAGGGAACGAGTGAGCTTGACCTCTACAAGGGCCCTGAGCTGGCCCTGGAGGTGCTTATGAGTAAGCGCGGTAGAACCTGAGCCCACAGGTATTCATTCATTCAGCAAACATTTATTAGGTATCTCCTCGGGTCCCACGTTAAGTTGTAGGTACCCTCCGGAGGAATCCTACAGTCAAAAAAAGAGCGGGTGATTGGGAAGAGAACGAAGGGAGAGGTGGGGAGAATGAGGCCAAGTTGGGGGGGGGGGGTGGTGAGACTAAAATAATGGATTATTAAAGTACATAAAATAAACGAAGTTTAGCAGCCTTTTACTCCCAAGCTGAAGTCTTGAACCCCGTGTAATATCCCAGGATGTCAGTGCTGAAAGGCTCACAAAAGCATTGCCTGGTTCAGCCCCTTTCCCCTCCAACTCATTTTGCAGAGGAAACTGAAAATTTGAGGTTTTATATTTTAACAAGTGGGGTTAACTATATTACCTTTTTTACAAAATAAGGTTCACTTTAATTTCTGGCTTCCGCGGCCCGTTTGATTTCACATGAATTTGACCCTCCAGACTTAGTTCATCTCATCTTTCGGCTGCAAGTCACACATAAGCAGGTACTTTTTCAGCTTATTAATAACTTTGCGCTATCCTAGGTACTCGGTAAAATGCCTAAAACAAGTGGATGACAATGTTCCTTTATTTTCTTTTTTTATTTATGTTTAGACTGGAAAATCTATCAGCATCAACTAACGTACTGATTATCAGTGGTGGGCAAAGCCTTGCTTAGGTTCTAGAAAGAAGAAAAATAATCCATGTCCTCAGAAAGCTTTACAATTTATTTGAAGAGATATGTTTATATTTAGACCCACCGAGATTTGTATTGCTATATGAATTTAAGTTCAGCTTAAACTCTCTGATTTTGCTGGGGGGGGGGGGCGGGCGGGGAGTGGGCAACCCCTCTGCTTTTTATTTCAATATAATATGGCAAGAAGCATAAGTTTCTCTGACAAGTTGAACCTTTCTCCCATCCTCATGAGCAAGTAAGAGGATAGCTTCCTCCCCAGTATTCAACCTCAAACTTTAAAGGCTTAACTGATATTTTTTAATCATTCAGGAGTAGATTCCTCCGGGTAGGGGTGGGGGGGGGGGATGTTATTCCATCAGCCAGGCTCCTTCCAGCATTTTTTCCCTTATGTTTTGTGTGCCTTTGGTCCATGTCAAATATCATCATTAGCATCGCCACAGGAAATCCCACAAGGGGAAAGTAGAAGAGATGAAAAACATCAAATTCACCTCCAGAATGCATCCTTTTCTGAGACCTGCAAAGTCAAACACCAATAGAATGAACTAAAAGCCTTTGTGGACTTAAAACAGCAAGAAAATGAAATGTTTTATTATGTGTTCAGTTTGTGATTCTATAATCATTGAAACATTTTTGATTGATCTGTCAATGGGAAATTGCTAATACTAGTGGTTCAATAATTTCAATAGTTTAAATTAGAATAGTAATATATGTAAAAATTCATGTCCAGAATAGTGGGTAAGAGTGCAGCCTCTAGGATCAGACAATCCTGAATGTGAGCCTTGATCCTGCTGTTCAGTAGTGATCTAATATAGGACAAATTAGTCTGACAGCCTCATTTTCCTTTTCTATAAAATGGAAGTAACAATACCTAGGTTGTTATAATGTTGTGATGATTAAATTAAATGTTAAGCATTAAACACCTAGTATAATAATTAAAACAGTGAATGTACAGTAAATATTAGCTATTACTAATTATTATTCATCATGGTATCTATGTCTGCTTCCCCTATTTCTCTGAATACTTCAAAGTTAGCCAAGGAGCCCTGGCCAGGTACTCAGTTGGAGCATCGTCCTAATAATCCACGGTTGCTGGTTCGATCCCAGTCAGGACACAAACAAGATGCAACCAATGAATGCATGAATAAGTGGAACAAATTGATGTTTCTCTCTCTCTAATAAATAAATTAAAAATAAAAGTTGGCCAAACCACAGAGCCCCAATATTTGGGGCATACAAAAGATGGCACGGGAGTGACTGCAACTCGAGTGGCTCTCAAAGGGCAAATCAAATTTATAACTTGAAGCTGAAGTCACAATAGACCTTAGGAGTTTTATTAGTAAAATGCTGTGGAAAAGTGTTATAAACAAGACAACACACCCAAAATGGAGTTGCTTATACTAAATCCCACATCACCAAACTGAGAATTAACTTAATTACAGATTCAGCTCTCCCAGAAATGGAATTTTAAACCAGTCAATCAGGAATCACATGATCAGCACTAACTAGGTAACCTGCCAAAGGACCTGTGCCATCCCCCTGGCCTAAAGGAAAGTAAGCTTGTAATAAACAGCACACTTTTTTTTTGCCTGATATAAATTCCTTATTACCACTCCCTTCTGGCTATAAAAGTCTTTGGTTTTGTACAGTTCCTTAGAGCTCCTTTCTGTCTGCTAGATTGGATGCTGCCCAATTGGAACTAATTTTTGTTCAAATAAACTCTTAAAATTTTTAATATGTCTCAGTTTATCTTTTAACAAGAGAAAAAAACTGTTTTCTCTCTACCCATCTTAAGTTCACTGACCCTGTAAATTAGACTGACAAAAGACAATTTAACAAGAGAAAAACAAAAATATGTCTATTAATATGTGTGTTGCACATATATATATGAACACTCAATTATAACTCAGAAGGGTGGTTAGAACTTGGGCTCATAGAGCACCTTAAAAAAAAAAGCATTGTATTTTTAGGGAAGTGAACAAGGCAAAGGAAAAGGACTTTGAGCAAATCGTGAGTAAATATATAAGGGAATTCATGAAAAGTAAGAATTAGTAAAATTTGTTAGATGGATTCCTCTGGTGCCTTCTCTGCCTGATAAGCATCTAGAGTTCTTCTGTTCTTACTGGTAGAGAGATGAGGGGGAGCACCCTACAAGTTCATGTCCTGCTTTTAGACAAATAGAGAACAGAGAGCCTTTCTTGTATCCTGCTGCTTCTCAGTTACTTTCAACTCAAAATAATCCTATGCTTCAGTGACATATTTTTAGGCGGCCTATTCTTCTGCCCTTCAACACTTAACATTATAAAACAATGGGAAAGTAACGGAGCAAGAGAGTCCCCCTTATAAGCCAAGGCCATGACTTTACAGTGTGTCTCTTCACAGTAAAAAAAAAAAAAAAAAAAAAAAATTAAAAATGGCATTCTTTATCAAAAGAAACACAAATCCTCCAAAGAAAAGGACGCTTCTAAACACACACACATACACACACACACACACACACACACACACACACACACACACACAGGAAAGAAGAGTCTCTTGTGTCTTTTCCAATCCTTTCCCCTTGTATTTTCATTTTCTCTTTCAGATCCCTCCTTTTGCTTGTCTTTAATATTGCATGTAACAGCTCCACCTTTTAAACACTGGCCACAGTGTGGCCAAAACCCCCTTTCCCTATATGATACATTTTGTTGTGATATAATAAGAAATACATATTTGGTCTTCATCAGGGCTCCTGGCACAGAGTTCCTAAATTCCTTGTAATTTCCTAAGATAAGAGCAATCTTTTGTTATAATATTTGGCTTTGTCCGCACTTCCTGAACTAGCTCCAGCGCAACAAGGGTGAAAGGGGCATCCTTTGTATTCATAACAAGGCCCTTTCAACTAAAGGACTTCAGAACAGGCCTCCCCAAGATGTGCTGTTTGGGCATGTGAATTATTTTGAGCTGAAGGCAATTGAGACCCTGAGGGTTCACAAGGAACTTTTACCTCTCCCTTAAAGAAGTTAAATTAAGGGTCTTACTCATAATAAGAGTCATCATCAGAAATAACTTTTTATGACCTATCTATAGGGTGGGGCAGAGTTCTAACATCCACTCTTATTCTCCTGAGAATGAATGACCTTCCTGTCTCTATTTTGCCTCATCCTTAGCTCATATATACCTCATGTATGTGGGGTTCCCGTATCTACATATGTAATTAAATTTGTTCATTTTTCTTCTTGTCAATCTGTCTCATGTCTATTTGATTACGGGACCAGCTAGAAAAAGCTAAGAGGGTGGAGGAAAGTTTCTTCTCCTCCACACAACCACACTTGAGTTTATGTTAATAAAGTGACTTTTGGAAAGCCCCTAACAAAATGGTTGCCAGGGGAACCACCCAAAGGAGTAGAGGGTTGGAACTTTCAGTCCAACACCCTGGCTAGAGATTGAATTCATTTACCAATGGCCAATTATTTAATCAGTCATGCCAATATAATGTAGCCTCCATTAAAAACTGCCGGAAGCGGGTCCACCCTTGCTGCTTGACATAGTCGCTGCAGGGAAGAAACATCTGCACAGCTTATGTTTCAAGGGACCTGGCATATATGGCATATGTTTGCTCCCCCTCTTAACGCTATGTGTTTTAAACAGGACATCTCCCCGAGAAAGGTTGTTTCCCCAGGTGAGGATTTTTATCAGTAAAACCCCTTAACTAAGTGC